GGAAATAGCTTCTTGCAGTCCAATACATCTGATGTCAATGAACCCATTACTCCCGTCGATAAAATTCCATGAGGCATACAAATGAAGAGATAAGACTTTTTGGGATCTAGATCAACCGTTTTCACTAATTTTATTGGAAAATAATTGCAAAAAAGGCGCCATAATATGTTGTTTCTTCCTAATCTTGTCCACAATTCACTGAAATGTAAAGTATAATGGTCATTCTTTAAACATTAATAAATTCTTAAACAATAATGATTATCATCTCTTAAAAAATTTTTATTGCGACTAAAATTATTCTCGTACATAAAATTTAATGACTATTATCACGGACGTTTTACTTTTTTATTGTAATACTGGCAATGCTGAACACAGGTGTCTTTTTTATTGATTGAACATGGTTATTTTCGGATCATCCGATCTTTTTATTAATTTCACGGAATTATAAATCCTTTTCCAGAATTAAAGTATTGACAATAACGGACTACATTTGGATACAAAAAACGAAAAAAAAATTAGAAAATTATCATCTTCTGCAGATGACTCATGACAACATGTGCTGAGCATAAAAGTTTTAAACCTTGTACGTATACCACAAGTATTTATCGAGATTACATAAAAAATTAATATTATTGATAAATCTAGGTGCTTTAGTACAAGAGAACGGATGGTTGGAAAATATCATATTATCAATATTGCATGTACGCGTGCGACACCGATGTAGTAATATATTTCAATATCAGACGTAAGCATCTATGCACTACTACATCAATGTCGCACACATATATGCACAAGTCATCTGTAAAACAGCAATATTTTGAAGTTCAACTATCACACTAGCATTACCTTAAGCGATTGTCAAGGATTTTATTTATCATATACAATGTCGGCTATCTTTATAGAGATTAATAGAATCGTTACCTTCTACCGCCACGATTGCAAGTGTCCCAATCATAATACATCCAGAGAAAATACGGTAGCAAGAAATAACGTATTGTTTTTGTGTAAAGTAGAAGATATGCCGTGAGTAAGAGTCCCAAAATATCACCGAAAGCGAAAATAAATAACCATGATGCGACAACCAACGTTTGTAGTCTTTTTTCCAAAGTTTCATTTAACGGTACAAATTTCACGCCCAAAATTTTCATATTTCTCGCTAAATCTTCCTGCTAAATGCAAATTATCATACACGGAGAGAATTTTTTTTTAATTTACCCTAAAAATTATGTTAATTGTGGGATAATATAGTATTTCGGCAAATTTTGCTGTGCATTACAATAAATTTTACTGTACATTACAATCAATTTGTTATAGTATATATTTAAAAAAATAATAAAAATTACATAAAATTTGAAATACTATATTGTCTTATGATTAACATGATTTTCAGGGTAAATTTTAAAATAAAATTCTATCCGTGTAGAGATCTGATATCCATTTAACTCGTTTATTTTGCCTGTAAATAAAAGTTTTATACAACTAGAAGTCATATCTCTTCTTCTTCGATTTTTTTAAAAGACTATAGCATTACAGACGCGTGCTTCACGCGTGCTATTTAATATTTTTCACATTTTACTATATTTGCTATACACTCTATCAACCTCAATATACACAACTGTCAAAATATGCAATGACAGCTGCTTGCGAAGTAAGCGCAATGAAAGAGCCAATCAGAAATCGCGGAAAAGAAACTTTACACTTCAATAAATCGATTTCACTCTGCCTTTTTAGTAAGGAAAAATTGTGTATGTTTATTAAGTTAATCGAGAATTTCGCGAATTGACAATATCTCAATTATCTTTTATTTTCGAAAAAATTAATTTTGTGTTTCCACTATGTCTAGTCTTGATAAGAATTTACACAATTTATTATCCATGAATACTTCGACATACTCATATTTATGCAATTAGTTTTGTTATGCAACAAATGTGATTACAATAGCGAAACTGCTATTTAAATAACGTTTGTCTGTAGGTACTCTTAAAAACAAATCGCGATTGCGTGAATAAATCACCGCGTTTCCCTTATATATTTCTATAAATATTTACAGATATCTACTTTGTTTCTTATTTATGCAAAAGGCATTATTGAAAAAATGCTAATACATTTAGTTTTCAGCAACATAAATAACTGTTTTATAAATTATAGTGTATAACAAAAATGTACAAGATAAATAGCAAGATAGCAAATTACTACTTTATTAAAATTTATTTTCTTATTCATTACATTTGTGTAACGAAATCAATTTATTGTTCTAAATTGTTGCTCTAAAGAATTTTTTTTGCATGTAATGTCATCCGACAACACATATCACATTTTGAAATAATATAAATTTTTTGATTCACGTAAAAACCTTTGTCTATTTTGAATATTAAGATGTAATTATAAATAAAAATTTATAATAAATAATGAAAAAATAAAAAATTACAGACAATCACTGATTCGAAATTCTCTCAATAATTCATAGGAATATTTTACTCAAACTTTATATTGTACTTTATATTGATATTTAGAATTGTAGACAAACATATCCGAATTTGATATAGATAAATTATAATGACAGAAAAAATACAATAAAAACTAACGCTTGTTCTTTATTCTGCAAGAAACAATTATTTTTGCTAAAATTTTCCTTCACACTTGAATTATTTGAACTGTTATGCAAATCTTCGATTATTGGAAAATAATCAAACAATTTCGCACACTTTTGTTCGTACTGTACGCACTGAAACTTAAATAATTAGATCACTTCATATTTATGTTTTTCTCGCGTTTTACTTATTACTTACCTGTCAGATGAAGCAGCAATTATAGAATTTCAGATTGCACTATTTTCTTCGGTTCGATGAGACTATTTTTTTTACAAGAAAAATAATATGTTACACCGCGAGCTTTTCAATACGTTGATCGTAATACTCAGACGTTTCTTTGCTTCTCCTCGGAGCGTTCGTCATTATATATGTTTTATTGGTACAAGTCGGTAGAACGTGGAAGGAATCGTTTAAATAAGAGTATGAATGTTTAATAATGTTTAATATGCATATATCAATGAATAAGCAACCAATTGCGTGCAAGGTTGTTTATTTGTAAAGTAAGATTTTATAACTATTAAATATCAAGGTTGGGAAAGTTACTTTGTAAAAATAACTAGTTACAGTTTTTGTTTCTCAAAAAGTAACTAGTTACCGTTACAAGTTACCGACTCCAAAAAGTAACATGTTACAGTTACAGTTACTCAAAAAGTAACGAATCGTTACTTTTCAGTTACTTTTAATAAAGCAACATTAGCATTATAAAAAAAAAGACGTGACATTATAAAAAAGAGAGTGGTTTACATTTATATATTATATAATTTTATTTAAAAAAGAAAAGTAATGCGCGTATTTAAATATGAGCATTTAAATATTTCGTATAATTACAATCAACATTACAATTAGGTGATTGAGCGAAAGAGTTGCATAATTTTGATCCATGAAAGTGACGATTTCACATATATAAAGTAACTGTAAAAGTAACTATTAAATTAGTTACTAGTTACTTAAAAAATCTAAGTTAAGTTACAGTTACACATGGAAAGAAAGTAACGAAGTTAAGTTACAGTTATTGAAAAAAAGTAACTGTAACTTTGTTACAAGTAACGAATTATTTCCTAACCTTGGTAAATATATACTTTACTATTGAAGATTTATGTATGATTTTATATAAATATATTTTAGCTATACGCAAACACTTGACACAGAATCGCTGTCCTTGCTATTACGCAATATTATTGAAGGAAAGTACTCGTCATACATTATTAAATATGAAAGTAGCAGTTGTAATTTCCTTGAGTTAAATAACATTCCGTCATTTTCATTTTCCATGTGTTAAAATATATTATTTTAATAATAATAGAAATGAGAGCAGCTCGTATTTTTGAGCAAATAATTAGAATAAGTATCAGGTCAATTAAATGAGCAATTTTTAGGTCACAATTTAAAATATCATTTATTCAATGAATTAATTACATTCTTAAAATTCTTGATTTTGAGACGTTTCGAACTTTACTTACAAGGGAAGTTAGGGAATCCGAAAATCCACAAAAATCTGAAACTTTGTGTAAAAGTAGGGCAGTTCATCCGTAATACAAAACTATTTTTTGTTGGTGCTTTATTCCGTTTTGAAGGGATGAAATCAACCTTTGAAAAAAATCGGTTTTTTTCTTCCGACGTAAATAT